TTCACAGGTTGATAGCTCATAAAGTCAGGAAGTTCTTCTTGATGTCTAGATCAAACCACTTCCTTATCATTTTTTAATCCACTGATTCTTGTCCTGTCCTGTGGAACAATAGAAAATATCACTCCGGCAACCCTTCAGCTACTGGTAGCCTGCTATTGTATCTCCCCTCGGTTGTCTTTTCTGTAGGCTAAACATGGGAGCTAGTTTGATGTAGTGATTAAGGTGCTGGACTAGAAACTGGGAGAGCACGAGTTGCAGTCCTCCCGTAGACATGAAAGCCTACGTACTTTGGGCTAGTCACTCTCTCTCAGCCCAACCCAGCTCACGGGGTTGCTGTGGGGAAAAGAGGAGACAGGAACACCACCTTGAATTGTCCAAAATAAAGGTGCGATATAGATGTGATAATAAATAACATACCCACATCCTTTAACACTCCTCATCGGACTTACATGAGCATTTAACCTTAGGGTTATATTAAAAGTTGCCCCTTTACTCTTTTTGAAGGTGTAATATTTTCTTTAAATATATTCACTGACTAATAATAATATAAACAAGAACAAGAACAATGTATAATTATATCTTAGCGCTATGCTAACCTTGCGCTATGCAAGGTTGGTATTTTGAAATATATAAAAGCAAATACTTTTTGCTTTTACTGTCTTGCAGATAGTAAGTCCTTCCTGGTTTCTTTCTTACTGGAATTTTGTTATATAGTACAACAATATAATCTTACATTTTCATTGCCATTCTGTCATATTTTTGGCAATTGCATTTGCTTGTTTATTTAGATAATAAAGTTTGCCACAATGTCTTTCCAGGCATTTTTTGTTGGTACATTTTTGTAGGTGCTGTTGTATTGTTAAAGGATCTACTTCATGAGTTATTCTAGTAAGTGTGCATGAATATTCAGAATAACAAATCTTTGCAGCTAAATTCCCAATGGCAGCATGTTGAGCAACAGAGTTAAACATCCTGTTGGTCTACTGTGCTGCTCTTATAACTTTTCTGTATTCCAAAGGTTACGGAACTTTGAAACTTGAATTTTGACACTCATTCCAGGTATGCAAAGAATAATCATTATCCAGCTATTTCATCATATATCTATAGCTTGCCAAGGTTTCATGTTGCATAATAAGAACTTCACAATGCCAACACCACAAAATCTGATCAAATCCCTGCCTCTGCCAAAATGGGAGGAGTTATTTATTTAAAGTTCTACTTGTCTGGTTTTTCAACCAGTCTGAAATGCGTTCTCCTCCTTGAGAGTGACTTTTAGTGAGGAAGAAGTGAAGAAGAGAGTACATACATTCATTTCTCCTGCTGTCAGCTGTTCATCTGCAGCCTTCCCAGGTTTGTTGCAATTTGTCAGTATGAACCTGTTCCCAGATGCTTGCTGTGCATTGTGGCAGTGGGGCTAGAAAAAGGGGTAAATGGGCCAGTTGTTAGTTCAAGGTCTCTCTTTGACTGGTCCAGCCAAGACTGGAAAACAGAAACCTGGTTATGTTTCCCTGTCTCCTTCAATCTAAGGGATGAGGCTTATTCAGGTAGCACAACCTGTTCCTTGAAGCTTGCTTTTCAGCCTAAACCAAGGTTTCAAAACAAATGGAATGAAAGAGAAATAGGAAGAAGTTCAGGTTTCTTTTTTGTAAATTAGCAATAGCAATAGTGAAAAGTAAAGTTTGAAAGCCTATCTTGGGTTGATTAGTCAAGGCTGCTTATTTTACTATGAGTTTCTTTTTGTTTGAAGAGATGCTAAACTGGCAATTCTTCCTCAAAGAAGCTTTGGGGAAAAAATTGCTAGCAAGATTGCTCAATTGGTCTTCCTGCCTCTTCCTCCTCCTCCGCTATTTCTTTGGGCTTAGAAAGTTAAAAGGGCAAAAAGCTTTACCTTTAGCTTAGAACAAAGTCTTCTTTGCCTTTCTTTTTCCTCTTTTGCATTTTGATAATCCTACCCCTTGCTCCTGTATGTACTCATGCTCAGTGTTAAAAACCCCTTTCAAACTACTTTTGCACATTTGATTGAGATGAACCCTGATGCTTTTCCATAAAATATCATTGGTACTTTGCATAAGAAGTGAAAAAGTCATTTGGCCTAAATGCTGATTCAGGAGAAAAAGGAATTAATTATTTTCTGGAAGTACAAGTAAGACCTGGCAGCTTTTCAGTATTTAATCTTAATTAATCTGTCAATTAATTTGAGGTCCTTTTGACTGATCCTTGTGCTCATGTTCGGGTGGGGGGGGTACTTTGCTGTGTCTGTAACTTGAACCACATTTGATTTTACAGATTTCCTTACTACTGACTTCCTTTTGCTTTAGTTGGACTCTCCTTTGTTGCTTCTTCTCACCTCTTCTTCTTGTAAACAACTAAATACATACCTGCATACCCTCTGAATTATAGTTTGCCCTTTGAATCTGTATCTTTCAGAGTCCTACCCTTTGGCCACAGAACCATAGAATGTATGAGTTCAAGGGGGGACTGTAAAGGTTAGGTAGCCCAACTGCCTGCTTACAGCAGAAATTCATTAAACCATCTTCAGCAAGTGGCCATCCAGTCCCTGTCTGAAAACTTCTTGAGGAGGGGAGATCACCACTATTCTAAGGCAAACAGTCCACAGCTTAAGAATGTTACCATCATTAAAATTCTACTTTGTATTCAGCCCAAATCTCCTTTATTTAAAGTTTTACTTGTCTGGTTTTTCAGCCAGTTTGAAAAAATAACAAATCTATCAGAACAGTCTTTTAGATATTTATACACTATCATATTTCCTCTCAGTCTTCTCTTTTGCAAGGTAAACATAACCAGCTGCTCTAATTGTTTTGTGAGAGGGCTTCATTTTCCTACTCATTATCATCCTGGCGGGTCTCTCTGAACCTGTTGCAGCTTTTCCATCTCTCTTACGAAGTTCAGTGCCCAGGATTGGACACAATATTCTGTCTAACCCATGCAGAGTACAATAGAACAAGTACCGCCTATGATCTGAAATAACTCCTCCTATATATACTGCCAAAGACTCCTTTTTAGTTGTTTTTATTCAGCTGGTGTGTCCACTAGCACCCCTAGATTCTTTGTGCATTCACTGTTGCCGTGCAAGGTCTTCCAAGCCCAGCACCAATGAATTTGATCTTTCCTAATCAGATATAGGACCTTAAATTTGGCAAAGTACAACATCTTCCTACTGTTTTCGGCCCAGTGTTCAAGCCTATTGTGGTCCTTTTGAATTGCAATATTTTGTTGGAAGATATTAACCAGTCCCTCAGATGGTTGTTATCTGCATTCTATTCCATTCTCTGGATCACTTACAAAGATACTGTGGCTCTGGGCCAAGAATGGAACTCTGAGAAGGACTTCCATCCAGGATGATGGAAAACCTTTTATGAGTACTCTTTGGATGCAGTTAATCAACTTCTTGCAAATCCACCAAACCCACAGTACTGACTAGCTCACATTTATCCATCTTGTCTATAAGGACATTATGAGAGACCTTGTCAAACTCTTTACTGAGTTTTATTGAGATCAAAGTAAGCTACATCTTACTTGGCCTTATCTACCAAATTAGTCACTTTCTCATAAATAAATCAGGTTAGTCTGATTTGTTCTTGACAAACCTATGTTCATTCTTGATAATTGTAACATTTTTTTCCTACATGCTTGCAGATAAGCTGCTTGACAGTCTGTTAGTATCTTGCCCAATGCAGATACATAATTTTCCATGTCCTCTCTGCTCTCTTTGTGAATATTGGGATTAAGTTGCCTTTCCCTAGTCTCCCTCACCCTTTTTCAAACCTTACACTCAGTGGTTCTGAGATTACTTCTACCACCCCTTCAATCTTTTAGGATTTAATTTAATTTGTTAATCTCAATTAACAAGCTTGGTTCTTACTATTTCTTTACAAATCCTGAGGTGCATTCCCCCCCTTCCCTCAGTCATATTATTGAAGGGCTCTTTCCCTCTTTCCACACAACAAACCAACATTTTCTTTATTTCTTTATTTTGTACATATTTGAAAAGAAACCCTTTTTGTTATACTTTGCATTCCTCACCAATCTGATCTCATTCTGAACAACATTTCTGACACCATCCCTACAGGGTCAAGCTACCAGTTGGTATTCCTCTATTGTTATTGGCTCCTGCTTCCATTTCCTATACCTCTTCTTGTTTGCAACTTGTCGGTGAGCTGCTCCCTATTCATCTTTACAGGCCTTCAAAGCTCCATGATGCCTCCCTCTTTCTCAGAGTCAGAATCTCTGGCAGGTGCAGACACTTTGTTATGCAACCAGTCTGAAGGCTCAGGTTTGTGTGGGGACTGCAGATAGAATTGATGAAGGAGGTGGAGTGTGTGCACATCAGCTGCCACCTCCTAGAATGTCAGAGTAGCCCTTCCAATTAATCAAATCATTAAGCCTGCCCCTCCCATGCTAAATGTTCAGAATGTGCTTTATCTCTGAGATGGGAAAGGGTAAGAGGGGCTGGGAAAATATTCTCTAACCAGGAGGGAATGGTGGAAAACTGGGTGTATTTTTAGTGTGGCTTGAAGCTTTAATTGAAAAGCCACAGATTGATGTGTGCTATTACATGGAATTGTTCAATAAACTTGGCATCCAGCTTCTTAGATGGTCATGTAGAGGGGACGGCTTGGTAGAAAGCCATTCATGATTTTCAACCATAAAGGAGGGTGTCAGGGTGCTTGTAGGAGGCCTTAGGATGATTTAGTTTATTTTAAGGAAGTGCTAAGCATTCTGAAACCACTGGAGGAATTGAGAGACTTCTTGAAAGGGCAAGGGCCAGGAGGTATTCAGACAAAGGTGAAGTTGGCAGCCATCTAAAATAGTGGTAGGAAATGATGGCTGTTGGAGACATAAACTGAGATATTAAATCTGGCACGGTAAAAGACCTTGCCTATTTTCTTGCTGTTGGTAATCTAGAAATGAAAATATCATTCTAAAGTAGGATTTTTCTGGGTACAGCATAGAGGCTGGGGAATGGTCATAAAATAAATATTCTGGTTCATGTGATTGTAAAACATCTGCCTGGTTGTTCTGCATGATTGTAAGTAAGAGATTTGAAAGTCAAGATGGGAAAAAAGAGAAAATGTCCCTCCTTGTCCTGGTGAAAAGTCCGTGGATGTTCTAAGTTCCAACCATCTGTGAATGTTCTACATTCTGTAGCATCCACCCTCCAGGAGGTGGTCAGTTTTGAAGAACTTCTTTAGAACAATGGCCAAAACTCCTTGTTAAAGATGCATAGTTTCCTGCAACTGCTGAGGAAAAAATGCCTGGAGGGGAGAGATTACCTAGAATCTCTGGAGCAGATTATAGAAGTGCAGCTTACAAGATGAAATCAGAGACATCAACTGTTGAAGAATTTTAGGGGTGTAACCTAAGAACCCTTACTTTCTACAAGATGTAGGAGCAGTTGCACTCAGGGACCAATGCAAGAATTTTGGGCTGTTACGCAACAGCAGATATGAAACCTTGATCACACAAGAGACTTCCAGGATAAGTATGTTTCCAAAAGCAGAGACAACAACCATGGCAAAGAACTGGCAAGTAGACCAGTTCTATGGAACCACTCCAGATAAGTAGAGGACAAGAGATGTGCTCTGAACAGCTGTTCCTCATGAGGAAACTGCAAGACAGCTGTCTCTTGTGGGTTTGAGCACCTGGAGATAAAGGAAAACCATCATGCTCACAGCTATGGTGGAACCTTTTAAAGGACACTGGGTTTCTAACCACTTTCGGAAATTGCCTATTTAACTATTTTAAAGCTATTAGAGATCTTCAGAATGACAAGTTTGAAAAGCCACCTGGTGAGTTTATCTTCATTCTTGAACAAAAGGAAAATTAATCATAAGTTTAAGAATTTAAAGAATTGGAAATAAACAGCAAAAAGCTAAATAAGGTTTTGATCCAAGAAAGTTATAAATGGATTAAGGGACCAGACAAAATTGGAATATTAGGACTTTTACTATAAGATGTTGGAAATAATTATGTAAGGAAACAGCCTTTGGGGGGAACTAAATTGTTTTGTCTATCGAGATTTGAGACTTTTTGATTTCAGAAATTGGACATTAGAGGGGTCTAAAGATTGCTTTTCATTTTTGGTTAGTACTGGAATTTACAAAATGACACAAAACATTATGACATTTGAAATAGTCCAGGAGATTTTTGAAGAATGGGGTCAGAAATTAGCAGCTACAATGTCAGCAATTATGTCTATTTCTATGAATAGACTATGTCCAAAAGATGCTAATGAAGGAATGACAGATGGGAAACAATTTTTGCCTAATGTAGAAATATTAGAACCAGAAATACTGGGTAATAAAAAAAGCATGGATTATAAGATGGAGAAGAGAACTAAAGTGGAAATACAAATGACAAACCAAGAGAATGACCTGGATAAGGACTTTCTACTGGATATGCAAAAGAAGTTGGTTAAAGCTTTGAAAATTAAAGCAGAAATACAAATGATAAGCCAAGAGAACAATCTAATAAGGATTTTTTAGTGGATTTACAAAAGAGGTTTGCTAAAGCCTTGAAGAAGCCTTTGGGATGGGAAAAAAAAAATGAAAAGAGATCAAATCCTATGACAACATCTGAATGAATTAAAGATCAAGATTGTTAGAAGTAAAAGGAAGGAATATAAAGTTGGTTTGTTTGACTAAGGTTAAATGAGACATGTTTCTATTAAGTTCTGGGAACCCTTTACTAGAGTTTTTGCTGACACCAGGACTGAAAAGTTGATGATTAATGGATTGGCATATAGATAAGGATGGGTTAAGGAAAGAAGAGATTTGTTTGTAACCTTATAAAGGGTGAAGAATTACTAAGTTTATTTATACTTATTGTGATGAAGATTGGAAGTCACTTCTTTAAATGTTTATTTATCTTACTTTCTTCATTTTCTTTTTCTTTCCTTGCACCATTTATTTTTTCTATCTCTTTTTTTCTTTCAGTTTAGCTTGTATTTGCTTTTACTATTGTAATTAAAAATTTCAATAAAATTATTTAAAAAAGAGAAAAAGACCTTGAACACAAAAGCAAGTCACAGAGCTATATGATTTATTTAAGCAGTTTCAATAATTGGTTCAATTCACTCCTTCATTCACACCCGCTTACATACCATCTCCCACAACCAGGCTGGCCAAATCTGGTCTGATGTCTTGGGAAACAAAGTGCACAGTAGATGAATGACTCAGGTCAGAAATCCTCCAATGAGCCTCCTGATTCCTTCCTTCTTTTATAACATTCCTGCTAGTATTTCCTCCAGCCTGGCATACTTCCTTTTTTCACTGAAATTTGTCATTAAGCTATTTTCAGAATCTTCTACTATGCCTTTCACCTAGAGAATGTCCCGTTCATAGATATAATTGGCTCTTTGTTGTTGTTACCAAAGTGCTCCTGTCCTTCCTCAGTCACCAAAAGTTCATCATGGCTTTACTTTGGCCTTTTAGCACAAACAGTACGACAAAGAGGTGACCAGGATCTAGTTAACAAAGAATGGGTTTGGAGATGTATGGATGTTTGAGGTAAAGATAGCCTTATCTGACTTCAGAATCCCACTTAATGCAAACTCCATTCTTGTAAGATGAATCAGCGGTGTGATCAGCACAACTAAGACTAACTTTCATCATGACTTTACTGAATGGATTGTGATTTTGTAGCCGGTGCACTCACAGTACTATTGTAAAATGTAAGGGGGAAACTAAAATTGGAGAAGCTCCTGGTGATTGCCAATGTTGAGCTATAAAGGTTCAATACTCTCCATAATGGGATTTGAATATAGAAGTCAGCTATTTATAGTCTCAACTATGACCAGAAGGAAGACAGGTAGACCATATCTGCGTGCGATATATGATTCAAGGAAGTTGCCTGTAGTGTGTTGTGGCCAAAACCTGGCTCATTTAAAGCAACCAAATCACTTTGAAGATACAACATAAATTTATTAAGCATGCAAATAACTACAGTGTATTTTATTATTTCTCCCTTCCTACTAAGTCAGCACTATCTTTGAGGTATGGCCAGTGAATATAAACAATGTGGTGTTTTGAGCCACTGGTTCCTGTCTGATTCCTCCCCCTGTCACCACTCAGGGTCAATTCAGCTTGCTGTGAATGTTTTATTACAAGAGCACTTTAACCAGTTCACATGTGTGGGGAGCATCTCATAGGTTTGGTAGTGAATGCAGCAACATGTATATGGGGTTGGTATTTTTACCACCACAAGTGCTAGAATCTATTCAAGCTTATAGCTCTATTCTGTTGTGGCAAGTAACCACAATGATTAAATGCCGATGTGGTGCTTTGCAGATCTGGCCTCCAGAATTCCTGGTTGTCTCAGCTTTTAAGCCCTTGGAGACTGGGGCTGTCTTTTCACAGACTTGGGGCATATAGGGCAAATGCTGGAGAAAAACTCTCCTTCCCCAAGTACAACACTTGTAATCATGCTTTGAAAGATGGGGAGTCTTAGGCCACACTGGTGTGAAGCAATTTTGAAAACTGAAGACAAGGAAATACAGTATATTCAGGTGTTATTGCTATAAAATATGTAAAAAGAAATAAACTGGCCCTAATACATCTGCTCTTGGGAAACAGGACATGGAAAAGAAGAGAGTGGCAATTATTGGAGCTGGCTCCAGTGGACTCTGTAGCATCAAATGCTGCTTGGAAGAAGGTCTGGAGCCTGTGTGCTTTGAAAGTAGTGATGATATTGGGGGGCTCTGGAGGTTCAAGGTAGGTGCAAATACTCCATAACATTGAAGCTTTACTTCTGAGGGATTGATGACACTTCTCTCTACCTTCAACAGTATTTCATGTAGCTACTTGGTCCACATCTTCTATCATTGTTAGAAATATGAAGAATATATTTTTGCCTCAAAAAGGATCCTGAGGATCCCTCAGCAGATCATAGAAATATGTACAAGTCAGAAGGAAGAGAAGGAAAGATGTGGAATAGTTTTTTGCCCAGCTAATTTTGTCAAGATTTACAGTTTTACATGGAAGACCATCATGGAGGGCAGTTTGCAAAACAGGCAGAAGAGTTTCTGAGGATAAGATAGCTATGGGATCCCAGAATATATAGGACATTGTGAATTTAGGTTTAGAGCTACATATGTACCTATTTCTATGCTCATATACTGATTTTGAAACTTGGTACATTAAATCCCTAGAATCATCTCAGACACAGGAAAATGAGTAGTAAAGCCTGAATTGGATTTCCAGTGACTAGAGAAATAGGAACACATTTCAAATTATACACACACACACACACACACGTATGTATGTATGTATATATATATCAGTATGGAACAAAATCTAAATTTTTATTTCTTGCAGGAGAATCCTGAGGAAGGCCGGGCTAGTATTTACAAATCTGTGATCATCAACACCTCCAAAGAGATGATGTGTTTCAGTGACTTCCTCATCCCAGATGATTTTCCCAACTTCATGCACAACTCAAAGATAATGGACTATTTCCGGATGTATGCCAAAAAGTTTGACCTTCTGAAATATATTCGCTTCAAGGTAAGATGAATATGACCCTTTTTTTCCCCCTGGAGCATTGGAGAGGCACAAATGTTCTTCCTATCTTCAAAAAGGGGAAAAAACAGGACCTAGATAACCACAGACTAGTCAATTTGATGTTGACACTGGGCAAAACTCTGGAACAGATTATTTGTAACATTTTAAAAAGAATGCGTTGCTTGGCAGGAGAATAAAGCATGCCAAACCATATCTCCTTTTTTGAAAGAGTGACAAAGTACAAATGCAGTTCTGGGTTGCATCAAGAGAAGCATAGTGCCTTGATTCAGATAAATCATTTGGCTCTCTGTTATTTTTGCCAGACTGCACTAGGATACAGCAGTTGATTCTGGGCACTGCATTTAAGGAACACTGACACTGACAGACAGTAGCAAGATGATAAGAATCTTGAAAGAAAAAACCTGTAAGGGATGACTGAAGTTGTTAGGTATGTTTAACCTAGAGAAGACTGAGGAGACATGATAGCTCTCTTCCAGTATCTGAAAGGTGTTGTGTAGAAAACAGAATAAAATTGTTAGGAGATGTACCAAAAGACAAGACAAGATACAATGATCGTAAATGACAAAGAAGCAGATTTCAGTTGGACATCAGGAAACATGTCCTAATGGCAAGAGGTGTTCAACAAAGCAACAGACAGCCTTAGGAGTGGATGGACTCTTCTTTGCTGGAGGTGTTTAAATCAAGCCTGGATGGCTGTCTGTAGAGGATGCTGTAACACGGGCAGGGAGTTGGACTAGATGGTCTCTAAAGACTCTTTCTACCCCTTTTTCCTAGATTTTCTGGGTTTGCCTAATTTTCAGGCTAATTCTACCCATTTCTTTTTGAGAGCAACAATCTATCGCCAATGACTGAAATTCCTGTTTCTAGCAATTACACCAAAAGAGTTTAATGGACTAGTTACTTGTGACACCTACATTTTGGACTGCTAGCTAGGACTGCTTGACATCCTTATTCTGTCAAGACCTTAAATCAGACTGCATCCCAGTAGCTTAGTATGCTTGGTGAC